ATTTGGCTCCCTGATAATGAAATTATCTTCAAGCCTACCAAAGAAATGAGATAAGATCCAGCAAGTGACCTAGATGTCTTCAGTTTTCATGTAGCAATACCTTTAGGTGTCCAACACCAAAAATTGGGAATATGGAACCTATATTTCTAAGGCTTTCATATGAAAACTTCAGGAGGATTAGATAAAAATACTGATCAAAGAGCTGTGTAAAGATAGCCAATACACCTTCAGCCTTGCCTCGGTTTCATAGACGCTTGACTAAACATTGTAAGGAGCCTCATTTCTCAACCTGGGACCAATGGTCACCAGCTTTCTGGCATGTTAGGAAGAACCGAGCAAAGCTTACCATTTTCAGAAATATGGCCTGTCAGAAGATCATGGTGCCAGTTAAACTACTGGTAGATCATTGCAGGCTAATGGTTGGAGAATGTGGTTGGAAAAATAGGAGGGAATTTTCTCTCTTTCTCACAGCTGGGATCTCACTCATGGTATTTCCTCTTCCTGAAGGGGCTGTAACTACTGTGCTGCGGTGCTGGTCTGCATACGACCTGGGGTTATAGAAGTGTGATTGCACAGCTGACTCTTGGTCCAAAGCTTAGTTATAGGGAAAAAATTCATCATGATGAGGGTGGCGAGGCACTGGCACAGGTTGCCCAGAGAAGCTGTGGATGCCTCATCCATGGAGGTGTTCAAGGCCAGGCTGGATGGGGCTCTGAGCAACTTGGTTCCGTGAGAGGTGTCCCTACCCATGAAACTAAAATTTGTAACTAGATGAATTTAAAGATCCCTTCCAAGCCAATTCTATAATTCTAAGAAATGGACCAGCAACCTCCTCCTAGGATCCAAATTCCCTAAATGTTCATCAACAGGGGCTGCTATCTTGACTGTGTCTTCTTGAGTAGCTTCTCCCTTTTTTTTCCTACTCCAGCACTGATGCAGGCAGAGCAGGCTGGTGTCCTCCTGCACTGGGTGGCAAGATTCTCCCCAAGAGGATCTACAAGCCTCTGTGCTAGTTATGAAATCCTAGAGACCTTGGAGTGGGAGGTGGCTACACAGCTATTCAGCATGAGAAAACTTCTCAGCAGTGGTATGGAAGCCATCAAAAAACATGCAGGCCAAGTAAGGAGGTAGAAAGTGAATTTACAGAATCTTCAAGGGTAACACAATCACAGAAAAAGCGATATTGTCATGTCACTCTTCTGTACTTTGTCACAAATCCTCCAAGTCCTGTTTTGCGCTATTAAAATCTTTTCTTCTTCCAAAGGTGTTGTGAAATATGGCTTTGCAGAATTATCAGAGCAGAATAATTAAATGAGTTTTTTTTCCAGTTCATCCTTCAAAAAGCCTTTCGTTCTTACTTTCTCTTCAGACCTCAGCAAATAAATGTTGATCTGCTGCCCCCTCTTGAATCTTCCCCCTTACACCATTTCTGACTAAATTTGACCCTCCTTGTTGGCCATCTCAGGCCACTTGTGCAAATGACTGAGGTGGTAGTGTTGTTACCCTTTTAGGTAAACAGATTATAATTGTAATTAAAGCCCTTTTCAGTTTAATATTACAGCTGAGAAAATCAGGACAAGGCCAAAAGAAGTGCCATTACCAAATGGGATATTGTGCTGGTCCTTAGATGAGCTTCAGGTCTAATCCCAAGATGTCCATGGTATTACTATAATAGCTGAAGCAGGAGGAATATTTTAGCACATGATGAGCTATGCTACATTAACAAAGAAATAGAGAACAATATTCTAGTTTTAAAAATAGACTGGGATTTCATACATAGCTATTATAAGCAACAAAGGATGAAGAATTAATATAATCATGGAAATGTACTGGGCTTTAACAGTGTCCCTATGATTAATCACTAAATATGGAGGTTCTGAACCTTAAATGTATGAAGCACATTATATTATCTTAACTTCAAGCAAGGATATTGCTTGACATGAGAAAAAAAGATAAACTGTAGAGAAACATGAATTGGGGCAGCACCTAAAACCTGCTTGAAAACTTCAGCAAATGAAACAAAATTTGGTGTGTTTGATCCACGTAATAACCATTCTCATGTTAGCTCCAGTGATCCCAATAGCTATCACTATATTTTCTAAAAATCAAGATGTTTGTTGCAGTAAGAATCATCTCAGGAAATCCTCAGGAATACCTTGAAACATCTACAGTGAAGAATCATCTAAAATACCTATGCATAAAACAGCTTAAAATTTTAGAATTTATTTTTCCTCCCTCTCTATACAAATAACAAAGAAACAAACAAACACGTTTAAAACTTACACTTTTTAAAGTGTACTTTAAAAATAATTTCCTGACCTACTTCACTGCATGGTCCTATGAAGTGGCTGTGGGGGTAGCACAAGTTAGGTGGCAATAAGCAGCCAGAAGAAGACAAAGGAAAGACAGATACCAAAGCCAGAATGTGGTAGAGTTGTGACATGAGTATGTGCTAAGAACCAGGCTGGTTTCTGATTTCTTCTTCTGTGTTCATGGTAGCACAGATCCAGTGCAGCTATGCCCTGCTTAAGGCTGCTTTGGGCTTCCCAGCCTCCTTCAGCTGCAAGGAGGCTGCCCATGGCAGCAGAAGCAGGAATAGGTGTAAGTGCGCCATACTTTTTGCACAGGAGTCTCAAACTCAAGGCACTTGAGTGTGCCGTTTTGCACACCTGAGTTTACCTGTCATGTCACCCCTGAGCCTGGATCTCTGGTGATGGGGCAGAGCTGTGGCGAAGGTGGTCCACCCTTCTGTCCAGAGTCTGACAGAATCCATCTCTTGGGGCTCCCATTTCTGTGAATCTTTCTGCCGCCACACTGTTTTTGCCCTGCCTATATGTCAGCACTTTTTCCCCTGTACCTGCCTTTTCATTTCAATGTGCTCATTATCCTTCATCCAATATTGATGCTAACCCAAGCGTGAGTAGTGCTATGGCCCATTCGTATCGTCAGAGTAGAGAAAAGCTACTTCTGAGTCAGGAACTTTATACTAGCATTGTTAAAATCTAGCCTGTTGAAATTGTTGTCACTGGAAAAGACTCCTCTGAAAAAGGAAGAAAAAAGAGGTACTGGATTTTAAGTAGCATGTTGGCCATTCCTGTGGTTAGAGCTGGCTCAAAGAAGACTAGAAATACCAAGACTATATAAGATTTTGTGTGGGAAATAATTCTTACTCATTTACTTGCATGTAGTATCATATGGCATAGTCATCACAGTTGACAGGGGGGAAAAATAATGCGTTAAATATTTTACAGATTTTTTATTTTTTTATTTTTAATTAGATGGTATGGGAGCAAGAAGTATTTTAAATAGCTTCTTCAGTATATTGTTACAAATGTTCACAAAATCTCACCAGGCTAAAATTTACCTGCAGCTACAGCTGTAATCCAATATAGTGCTGCAAGCACTTCCAGCATTAAGAGCAGGAAAAGTAGATGTATCACAGGTTAATTTCAGCTGATATTGATTTGGCTTATGCTTTCTAAATCACAATATTGTGTTCATCTCTGTGCCATTTATAGCGAGTGGTCTGTGTTTTAAAAATGTCAACTGGTTGTAGGGCAAAGTCCTCCCTTTACCTTTGTACTCTTTAGTACATCCCTGTAGGTGCAGCAGAAGTATCAAGGCTAGCAAGAAGAATAGAGGCACCTGCAAGACTGGCTTTACACCACATTACAGAATGCTTTAAACTATAGTGTGTAATTGTATGGATACACATATTTATGCATATGTGTCTGCTCATTGGGCAGCTGACCAAGGCCCACTGTTTATATGCCCATGAATTTTTTGGCAGTTTTTAACCAATATACACTGCAGGAAATAGTATACAGAAGATGGAGACAATTCCAGGTGTTTTCCACAGATCTAGCTGTCCAATTTTTGTTTCAGTTGAGTTGTCTGTCATTGAAGATCAAATACGAATATATGTCTGACAGCATAATTATGTATTATTTCTGTGTTATTTGCCTGTCCCATTACCTCTGGCACACCAGAATGGTTCTGGCAAGGCTCAGACAGTAACAAGACTACTTCTGTTCAGAGGCAAATCCTCTGAACCCTCTTTTCCATCGTTTTGTGTTTATGTAATCTCAGTGACACATGACTGCAGCACTCCCACTGGTAGGAGATTACATCCAGCCGTATTGGATTGCAGTGGAAGTGACACGCCTTTATTACATTTTGAGATTGTGTATTTCTTTAAATGAGGATGGTTGTCTCATATTTTAATTCTCTCTGGAAATGGGTGACATTCCAGACCATTTCAAGATGAAAAAAGCTGTTACAGTTCTGTGGCAGAAACAAATGTTATACAAGTGATTGTGTTGCTCACTACGTGTAAAGTAGACTAAGCATCCATGTTGGTGTGCCTTTTTCCCATTTGGACATGTAGGTTACTCTCTACATTGTTTGCTTGGGTAGAAAACACCTAACTCTTAATTTCTGAGATGCCTCAAGAGTAAGGGTATGGTAGACAGAGCCCTTTCTTACTGTGACAGAAAGTCACCTATAGACATGTTTCTCACCTGTGGTCCACACACTCCGAGCAGTCCCTACAACATTAGTAGGCACAGTGTCTTCACAAAAGCCATGTTTCTCTAATGCGGAAGTTCTGTTTTTTATAAAAGTGCAAAGGAAGCGTTAATGCAAAGAGTTCTACTCACCTGAATTCACACAACTGCTATGCAGTATGATAAGGTGACCCATGGATAGTTTTCCTAGAAAGGAGAGATGGATGCTGATATATTAAAGAAAAAGAATAGCAGAAGGTTGCTGAACACGTTCCCTCCAAGCCTGCGGAGTCCTGGCCATGCTCTATTTCTCCAGTACTTCGTGTGGCTGAAGCAGTCATTTTTGATGTTGGAGGGTTACTCTGCCATGTATCTGCCCACAGTCCAGCTGAGCTAGCTGCACTGGGTAGTGTGAAAACCCACTATTTGCCTACAGGTATTTATTATAACAAATAAAGACTAATGCTGGTTTTGTTTTTGCTCTTTAATTCCCAGAAGGGTCAGCTACAACGTGTCTCTCCAGGAAGACTCCACAATGAAAAAAACAACCCACGGTTGCTTCTTACTGATTATCCTTCTTATTGTAAGTACGAGAAAAATGAACTGCTTTTGACACCTGCCAAATTTAAACCTGTGGCAATGTTCAGAAAAATAAGGAGTACTGGATTATATTTGTTAGAATACAGGAGAAGGAATGTGTTCCTTTGCTGATAAATTTTGAAGTAATGTTTATAAAGTTTCTAACCAAGATACCTCATAAAAGCTTGAAATTGAAACTACTGTTCCTTGGTGAAACAGAACTGCAAGTCTGAAGAAGGTAATGCATGTGATTTTTCATTTTCTTATTTTACAGACTACAACATATCAGTGACTTGGAAACTTAAGTGTTTGAAAACTTCCTTAACATTGTTGTGTGAGAATTTTACTGACTTAATTGTGAACTTTTACTGTTTATGGTTACTCTGCTCTTAGGAAAGCAATAGAAATGGCAAATTACAGTGTAAAGTTTAGTTATTTGGTTCAAGCACTACTTTCAACTGTTTAATCTCAATATTTCTGTTACTCCAATATATACAATGTGGTCAGGTAATTATTATTCTAAATACGTAGCAAATTTGATTTTACTTGACTAAATACCTCTCGTGTAAGTGGAATGGTTTCTCCAACTTCTGCTTGTGAAACCTCAATGGTTCACAATTATCATAAAATCAAAGACATTGCAGGTAGTCAGAAATGAGGACACTACTCAGATCCTGAGCTAGAGAGCAGTTGATACATGTCTGAATGATGTTACTGGGAATAAGCATCTCTCTGCCTGAGTGTTGTTTGAGTTACTTGGATGTCTGATGCCACTTTTTTCCCCACTTGTTTGTTCCTGTGTTCCTGAAGAAAGCTTCTTATTCTTCTTGATTGTGTTTTGTTGGCAAGCTCCTCATGCCCCTCTGCTTCTCAACTTCTCTTCCAGCAGCTTAATGTGAAACATTTTTGTGTGTCTCACCATCAGCTCACACCCTTTCTGGGCATAAATTGTAGAAATGGGGCTATAAGACACACTGGGGAGCACTAGGGACTGCTCTCCCTAATTTATTTGTTGGATTGTGTCCCTCCTTCTCTTTCAGACTAGTATAACTTCCCCACAGTGCTGTTCACGACTTGTATTTATGTGAAAAAAATGTAGGTTAGGGAAACAGAGAACAGTAAGAGAACAATGGAATAAAACAGATAAATGAGATCATGGAGAAACCAGGACAACAGCAAATAACACCTCACATTAGTAAAATACTAAATTCATAGTTCAGGATTAGGACCTTCAACCAAAGAAGAACTAGAGAACAGGAGGAAGAACAGAGGAGAGTTAACGTATTTCTGTTAACTTGGTCTCAAAAGTAACTAACACAAAATTAGTTATGATCTGAAGAATCATCCTTGTGATTGGCAAAAATCTTCTCCCTTGATGTGTATCAGAGTAGTCTGTTTTTTGTGGCATTTTGTGGCTGTTACACATAGCCCTGCAAGGGATGCACGTAGCAATGCTCTGGCTGGGACATCATGCATGTTCAGAGATCTCTCTAAGCCAGAGAGCCCAACAGACATCAGCTTCCTTCTGTATGTGAATAGTCCTGGCTGGTCTGCATAGCATAACAGGAGCCTTGGCAAAGAACTGCAATTCTTCCTATAACAAAGTGAAGCCAACTGAAGGAACAATTCCAGGTTATTTTTCTTCCTCAGACAAGTGACAGGACTGTAAATATTCTGATAAAAAGAATTGTCAACAGATCTTACTGAGCGAGGTGTTCTGACCTACAGCATGGATTTATAGGTCAGCCCTGAAGGATTGGGCTGATTCTTCCCCTGTTATCCACAAACTTTTAAATCTCTTACCCATGGTATCACACATGTAGTATTGGTTCTGTGCTCCTTAATGCAGTGTTCTGAGGCTAGGGCTTCTTTAAGAAACTCTGCGGTGAGATCTGCATCCCCTTCCTTTTAGACATTTTTGCTCCAGAGGGCCAGTCTGAATAACTTAAGCACAAATTTATTTACATTTTCACTGTTCCCATCTCAATATTCCATCCTTTCCCACTGCAGTGGCCATACTGTGATCTAGTTAGACACCTCTTAGATCAATTTATCTTCTGGTAAGGGATAAACTACAGTCGTAGAAGGAGACCATGAGCAAACTGTTTTCTTGATAGCACTTGTCAGAACAGTGCTGTTAAATCAAATATGAAAAATATTTGGCAGCAGCCATCTTTCCAAAAAGTTTCTTCATCTGTAGCTTGTAGAAGGCATTCAATTTTTACTTTTTTTTTTTTTTTTTGTGGTCTGTAATAAGAAAAAGGTGTCTCTTTTTCTCTCCCAAAAAGACTGCTCCTGATCTTGTGGATCTTCTAATCACATTTTGGTTCCCAGAACCATGAGCCATGGGAGTTCCATGTTAGCCACTGCCTGAGGTTGAGGAAGATGTAGCAATCAAAGTGATTTGTGACATGGGTGATCACCCCTTCCTCTACCCACCCCACAAACCATTCTCCAGATCTTTCTATTTTGTTGGCACTGATGGTTTACTGTTGTCCTATTGTCTGTGTCCTGCACTCCCAGTGCACTGATGAATGCAAATTCTTCCAACGTAACACAGCCTAATGTGGTCCTAGCTTTTCCTCTGGGCTGCAAACTCTCTGATTATGCTGTTTGTTCTGGTGTAAGTTCCAGTCCTGTATCTCTCCTTGCATGTTTTGTCCTAGACCCTAGTTACAAGGTGTCCATAGGTTCCCCTTCCCATAGTCTCCAGCGTTTAGACCAGTCCTCAGGTGGTTTTGGTACCTTTTGATAGAAACCGTCTCTCTTACATATGTAATTTTTACACAGAATGGGTAGAACTTTATTCTTCTATGAAGAGGTCAATAATAATTGTCCTTTGCCAAACAACAACAACAAAAAAAATTAAAACATTGGTTGCTCCAAAACTCACTTGTTAAAAATGAAGATTTTTTTATTTTCTCTGATGGCTTCTCTTGCTTTTGGATGTACAGTAATGACAATGCTTCCACCATCACCAGATAGTTCTCTGTAATTCAAAGTAAATTCTATTGGAAATTTTAACTGTTCTTCTCAGGGAATATTACTTAGCTCACTTTATCCCTGATACTATTTTTTCAGTAATTATTGAGAGACAAAAAATGTGACTGAGATATGTTTCATCAAACCCCTCTATGCTGGAGGAATTAGTTCATCTCCTAGGTGCACATTCCTCTCCAAGAGAAAGACAGAACATCGGCACGGTGTATCCAGGGGCATCAAACTGCAGAGAATGAGAAAGAGGAGAAAACAAGCCTGGGTCTTTTTCCTGTGTGACTGATCAATTTTGCAGGACATTGAGAAAAGGGAATTGCATTTTCTACCTCATTTTGTCAAGTAAGAATTCTCATCTAGTGAGAATTCCATCTCTACAGATGGTAGTTTGGTCTTGCCCTGTAAATGAGGATGGATGCAGTAGTTTTTCTCACATATTGCAATTTTGTTGTCCTGAGCCAACCACAAAGTGGTCAGTAAGGACCAAATGAATGCTGTAGCTTAAGACCAGTCCATTATTCAATTAAATCAATTTGATCAAGATTGTATTTTAAAATAAAATCATTTTGAGTAAAAAACAAATTGTACAGCTTCATGAAGTCCAAACCTGTTAAATTGTTACCAAGCCTCAGTCACTAAACTATACACAGGCTAGTGCATTGTGTCAGATCCTAAAAGGCTTGTGAATAATTTCAATTCATAAAACACATAACATTAATTACATGAAAGCCTAAATGTAATTTTAGGTAACTGCAAAAACTGGCTTATTTCGGAGCACGGCTTTAGTAGGTTGGAGTCTCCAGAAGCCAATTAGTAAAACATTTGCCACAGTGAGTGAGCTCATGGTGCATGTGTCTGACCCCTCACAGCTACCAGTGCGATATATTCACCAGTGAGGTGGCATGTCCATGTCCTTCCCTGAGCTCCTGCTGCTGTCCAGGTTTCACCACAGGTCTCTAAAAGCCGTGTCTGTGCAGATACTGTACACATAAGACTCTTCCTGCTTAAACACTCTTCCAGCATCTGGTCCAGAACAGGTGCTACCCTTCAGAGGGCAGGAGAGGTGCTGAAGTGCATATTTTCCTATGTTGCTATGGCTTGCTTTCAAGCTGTAAGAAAGTGGACTTGCAAATTCCAGAGCTCTTCTCATGCAAGGACGATTTGGGAAAGTACTTTGCTGATGATATAAAGTTGATGAGAATTATTTTGAGAATTTCAGACACAGGCTGCACACAGTTTTCCAGGAGGGAGAGGACTGCCCTGCTCTGTTCTGTTCACCTGAGGTTCTGGGGTGAGCTGGACCTTTTTGTCTCTCTCTTTGTTTTTTAATAAAATAAGAATGCAGCTGGTTGCCCTAAAGAGGTCTCTTGAAAGAAAACAATTAGAGCTGAAGACAAAATCTGTGAAGCATTCTGCAGCCTGCCTTTAAGCCCACAGTTTGCATCAGGCTGTCTTGAGAGTAAAGCTTCCTTGTGTGAGCAGTACTGACTGCAGCAATGGAAAAAAACTGTCAGAGAGTCAGGGAGCTGCTTTTCATTAAAAGTGCCTTGTCTTCATCTACTGTGGATGATAATCTCTTGCTTGTTTACATGGCTGCCAAAATCAGCAATATAAATTGTATGGGATCTAACTATATGTTTCCATCTTGCTTCAACAGCAACTGAGGAGGAAAAAAATGTAAAATTCAGAGGTTAAGCAAAACACGTCATGTCGAGGTATTTCCTCAAAGAAATTGTCTGCTGTTTCTAGGCACATTTATAATGAATAAGAAATCATTGCTATGTTTACTCAGTACCTTCTGCTAATGACCTTCCTAAGGTATCACAGTGGTTTTCTTCTCTGTCCTGACACTCGTAGCTGTGAAAAGTGTTTCAAACACAATCAAGGTACAACGGGGGCTCTGCAAGTAGGCTGAGTCACACTGAGCTCTCACTTAGAGATGTGATATATTGAAGGACAGGGGTTTAGTGGTGACCACAAAGTGGTGACTAAACATAGCAGTTTTAAGAAAAATGTGCTAAGTATATTTTTGAGCTATCAAAATCAATAACAAACAGTTGTAGTATCCAGAATCTGAAATATATTTTGACTGAGCTCAACAGTAAATGTTGCAAAATTGCTGCATTTAATGGAAGGGGGGGGGGAAGAGAAGGGAAAGCTGCAAATACCTTCTTTTCTGTCATGTCATATATAGTCAACAGTTCAAGCTCCTTGATGGTGGAAGAAAAATATTTGTGGATTGAAAAAAAAAAAAGTTAATTTTATGCTTGCTTTATCTGGATTTTCTTTTGCAGAAATGGACATAATCTAGCATATGTTAATAGCAGGTGTCTGTCTTATAGAAATGGGGCACTATTTGGTATTTTCTGCATAGTTTAAAATGATTCCAAATTGCTTTTTTCTACCAATTCTACGTATAAAGAGACCTTCAGCATTGCTAGCAGCCTGTTGTTTCTCTTTGTCATGATAATTCACTTTCTTATAACAGTCACTTGTCAGGTGGTGGCTTGGTGGTCGTATGTATGACGTCATTTACTTGGACTTCTAGGAGTGACATCATATGTACGGCTGCTAAACTGCTGCATGGGACATCACTTAAACAGTTTTCATCTGAAGAAATCACACCAATCATTTTCAGGCTCTGAACACCACATCCTGATTATTAAGTTGTGAGTTACTTATTTCTCTTTAATAAAGAATATTTATAAATGAGTGAGGCATTCTTTTATTGTATCAACACAATTTACACTTCCATCTGAAGTAACCAGTGGATGGATGGGAAAGGTTTTTAACTTGCAGTAATGAAGGCTGAATATTCAAAATTTGTCTATACTATAGGTACTAAACAGGTGGAAATGATTTGATCTTGGATTTTAATGGTAAAAATACATGTTTTAAAACTTAATTCCCAATGTAACTATATATAATCAAAAAAAGTAATGTCAGATATGATATATATACACTGAGTCTCATGGGACATTTCCAGTCTCTCCCATTAGCATGCTACACATGAAGTTTTCCCCATATGTAGCCATGCCCAGGCTTCTTCTATCTCTGATAAGAGAATATTGACCCAGATATTTTTTTCTGCCCCACTTGCCCTTTACTCACCCTTAAGGTAAGGAGTGCCAGAAGAATAAAACAAATCAGGACTGTACTAACATCTTTGTCTGACTGAGCCCCAGGAAGGATCCTGGCTGGATCATCAGCCCACTGAGCCAAGTGAGAAGACTGCCCCTGGCTTCAGGGAGGTCAGGCATTAGGCCCCAAGCACCAGAGTGGTGGTAGACACACAATTCTCTTGTGCATGGTAGAAAACACTAATATTGCAAACAGAAGTGTGATTGCTCACCCTCCAGCAAGCCAGCAGATTTATTTTGTGTTAGTCAACTGAAATGGTCATATTGTTTTAAGGTAGAATTAAATATTGTTCAAACTTCCACAGCCAGCTTTTCAAGTCCAGGCAAACAGAAATGAGTGATAACAATCAAGTGGAAGAGTACATTTGGAGGGCATATCACAGATGAACAATACAAGTAAAATACATATAACCCTGTACTTTGATTTCACACACCACACACAAGTTATACAATTACATCAAAGTTTTCTGGAAATATGTGCACAACTAACTTTGAAAATCGTATTCTTTGTGTATGATAATAAGGAAAAAAAATGAGATAATTTAAAAGACAGCTCTAATCTAACAGTAATATTTCATTCTTTACCTAAGTTGCTTTAGATTTACTGCAGGCCATTAAGTGATTCCCCCGATGAAGTAATTTCCATTGAGTTTTAGTGGCATATTCTCATCTATCTTTTTAATCTGTCTGAGTGATTTCCTGACCCAAATGTAAGCAATAGGAGTTTTGCTGGCAATTTAACATGGGCCACGATTGCTTTGCTCAGAGGTAGAAGGATGGTTACATGGTTGAGCATTTTAAATAATTTTGGCATTCTCCAAAAGTTTTATCCTATCCACCACCACAGGAACTCTCTGCCTCCAAATATTAAAGTATTCTCATTAATCTATACCCAGACTTCTTCAGGAATTGAATTAGTCCCTTACATACAGCAAGTTATGAAACTGACTTTGAAGAGTAAGGTGTCTTCATTCTGTATTGTGTTTCACCCCACCAAATTATCACCCCTCATTACGAACTATGTCACCTTCACCAGTTAAAAGATACAAATATAACATTCCTTTTCTGATGACATTTTACGTTTGATTCAAATTGATATGCTTCTGTACTGTGCAATCTTCTGGGAAAAGTCTGTCCTTCTGAAAATGGTGGGTAAAAAAAGATCCAAAACAAGTTAAAAGGAGGGAAAGGTGTTCCAAAGCACTTTGAAAGTACTTATAATTTCTATCTGTGGCTGAAGTTTGCCAGTTATTTCATAGTTGTGTTGTTCTTTATTCTGTACAGATAAAACAAGAGAAACTGCAACAGTATTTATGATCAGCAACCCCAGTCTTGGGTTGCTTGGATCAGCAACCACTTTGTCAGTGTGAATTGATCTTGTTTGGTCCAGCAGACCTGAAGAACAGATCATCTCCTTCCTAGAAGGAAACAAAAATCAAATAAAAATATTGCTTCAGGGGAAAGAAAATTGGCAGTGTTTTCCAAGCACAATCGTATGGTTATGCTTTCAAAACAGGGGTGCCTTCCCAGACTAAACCCCAATATCAGAGGAATCATCAAGAACAGAGACAGTGACATGAGAGTCCCTCTAGCTTTCTTTGACTATAGCATTATTCGTTACTCAAGTACAAACTGTTTGGAACTGATGCAATATTCAAAATAAGAATGCAAAAAATAATAATAAATAAATAAGCATGGAGTATCTATGAATCACTTCAGGGAAGCACTGAAGCCTGTGGTGATACGTGGTCACAAAGGCAGACCTGAGGAAGAGTGTCATCTATTCTTCCCTGCACTGCTTGCTGGATTTGGGACATTGCTTGGTTGTTTTTTCAAATGAACCTCATGGACACCTGCTAGCCTCTTTAATCTTTCCATAAATGAGGGATACCAGATATGTTTGGCTTTGCTTCTCTATTTTCTGTTCTGGCTTTCTAGATTCTTCATATTTTCACTTGAATGGCCAGATGAAATGCTTCAAGTGGCTTCACTGTTTAAATTTATCTGTACATGCATATATACACACACATAAGTACACATAAAATTGTATCTACCGGGAAATATCTTCCTTCCTTTTCCCCCACTTTTATTTCAAGTTCCTATTTGAGAACAATGAGATAAGCTACCATCAGTGTCTTCCAGTCTTCACATAGTAGCTGTATACAGGTCAAAATTAAAATAACATTATCAAAAGAGATTGGATTAAACTAAGAAAAAAGCAATTGGTTAGATAAAAGAGCCTAAAAATATTAAATTGAGATGGTTTGGCACAGAAATATCTGTATAAAGTAATGACTTTCTTTTTTTTTTTTTTCACCTAAATCAAACATACTGTGTTTTGTTATGTATTTTACAAAGGTGTTTTAGCTGTGCTAACGGAAAATAAATTAATGTATTAATGAGATAAAATTGCTTTGTATGTGCAATAAAAGAAGGGAAGCAACAATTTAAGAAGTAGGGTGATGATTGAACTTTAAAAACCTGTTGTTTTTTTTTTTTGTTTGAACTGTAAATGCCTACTTAAAGATCTCTGTAACAGCATTTGGCGTTAATATGAATCTCACAGACTCAAATGTATATGGAGGGTGATCGATATAGTCTGAAGCATGCTCCTAAAGTCCTCAACACACCTGTTCATATGGAGAAAATATCATTAAAAACATTTAGTTACATTACTTGCATGGCTTGTGTAGGGAATTGCAGGATTTGAATAAGAAATATTCCCAAGATCTCCAAGCCTGCATGCTTACAGGAGTTTTAAGCTTTGAGGCAGGCTGTAAACGACTCTGTATCTGTTTGCAGTGACTTAAGTATAGCTTTGCAGTAAAAAAGTAAAGGGTCATACAGGGGAAGTGCCACAGAAGCATTGATCTTGCTTGGGAAAGCAGAGGAACTAATCCTTTCCTATCACCTTCATGCAGAGAGGTGTCCTTATACAGGATTAAGGCAGAAGAGCATTAACGAGAGCTCCACGCTCTCATTTCCAACCTGGCTCACAGACCTGGTCTGTGCAACAGAGGGACAGATGGAGAAAAGATAACTGACCTCTCTACCTGAGATCTTTGCCTTAGAGGTCCTTCTCTATGCCCTCCAGGCAGCTCAGAGTGGAAACATCCAGAAGAGGCCGCTTGAACAAAGAGGACTGTCATTCAGGCTCTCAAATTTAGGAACACTTTGATTAGGTGCTTAATTAAGAACTGAGCTCAGGCTGTGAGGGTTAAACTCTGCCCTGACCTTAACAGCTGAAGGAGCTCAAAGCAAATGACAGAAAATATGAAAAGAAAAATAAAATAAATTAAAAAAAAATCAGCTAGTTTCTAGACTGTGGCACTGAGGTATTTTTGTCTGAGTAGTCTAGAGAGAAATCAGCACCAGTGAGAGGAAATACATGGGTGTAACTTTGGGCAGATTCACGCAAAGATTTTTTGCAGATCACTAAGCTAAATGAAAAGATTTTAAAGACTTTATCAAGAATTTAGTGGTCCTCCCTTTTGCCAGGAAAAAGGGCTTGGTTAAAATCCTGAGTTTACAATGAGGTGAACTTAGTTAAAATTCAACATTTACTTTGCAAGCATTAGAAGGTCTAACATAATACTAAACACATGTGTAAATATGTCTTTGAAGAATGCATAATAGAGATTTCTGATCCTATTTTTTTTTATTGTATTCTACTGGTTTATTCACTGTACTAACTGTTTTTCCTTTCTGTACAGAGAATGGTTCCAAGTCTTACTGCTACTGTAAATTATACTGATCCTACATTAGAGCCTGTAGTAACTGAAAATTCAGTCATACGACAGAAGATAATAGATTCACAGTTCAAATGCTATGAGAGGATGAACAGAGCGCCTCCATATAGGAAAAAAGGTAAAAAAGATTTTAAATTTCTGTTTGTATATTGCCATGTTTGCTTTTATCAATATAAAGGAGCCTTTTGCTCTGTATATTAACCCATAGTTTTCATCGGGGTTCAGTTGCCTTCCAGCACTCAGCTGTCAACTCCACGCTAACTTTCCATCCTCTTAGATGCTAAGAAAGAAAAAAGGTTAGAATGAGCCCAGGGAATGAACACCTTTTCCTTCCTTCCCATGCAGACGATACCTCCATTGTGTAGGTGAAGTGCATCTCTGTCTCAGTGTTTTGCTGATTGAATTTCTGTGTTCCTGCTCAGGGAGTACCACTCTCCAGAACGGTCAGTGCAGTACCTTCTAGCACACTTAACGTGAAGGCCTGGCTGTGAACAACAATCTCTTAAATAATAATGATATAAATTTCAGTTTGTTTGCTTCGTTCACTGTTTCACTTTTCCGTCAGTTGTGTACTGACTGATAGCTGCCATGTTCTGTACTAGCACAGATGTTCCAAGTCTTCCATATTCAACAGTAACACGATGCACATATTAAGGTCAAGAAAAAGGAAAGTGACAAATAGTGGTGATATGATGGCATGCCATGAAAAAAGAAGCATTTCAGGCTAGGACTGAGGGTTCTCTTCTGATCACCTATTATCATAGAAATAAAGATATGAGGAGGACAGAGAAAAAATACTGGAGGCATTGTGGCAATGGAGGCAAGTAAAGAACAGAGAAGCTGAGGGCACTGTTTAAAAAGAAGATATTATAAGAAAAAAAAATAATCACATAATAAATAGGATAATGTATGGTTTTTTTTTAATGCAAGACCAAAGACACTTCTACAACCCTTTACTGCAAAGATTTTATTGATCTCTGTAAGACTCAAAGAATGATTAGCTATTAAGATACTCAGCTCTTGATGCAGAAATGCTTTGGAATGAAAATAGAAATTTCTGTTGCTTCAAATGGGTTTTTATTTGGGCTGATAAAAGAAACAACAAGCAAACATGAAAAAAGAAAACAACCCTGCCAGTATTTAAACAGGGTTATGAGATAGAAACTGTCATGTTTCAGATATAAGCAAGCCTTTTCCTGCTGGGCTTGAGGTGGGCGTACCTGCTGTCTGCACAGATTACTCTTTTACTCTCCAGGTCTATAAATACATAATTATAATATATAATTTATATATTATATAAAAATATATAAATATATAATTTATATAATAGTTTATATATTTCTATATAATGTCATAAATGTATATGTTTATATATAATTTATATATTTATATAAGTATATTGTTTTTGTACGCAAAATATAAAATTTTGTATCGGTAATTCCACTCTACTCCTGTTTTGTTTGTTTGCTTTTTGCTTTATTTTGTTTTTGTTGTTGTTGATTTTTTTAATTTTATTTTGCCCCTCACTCACACGATCAGTTGCAAAGGACTGGAGCATCTGTCCAACATGAAGAAAATCTTGCTATATATGACTTCTATGTGTTTTTCTCTGGCACAGAGTAGGAGGTCAGCAATAGCAGAGCAGCACCTATCTGAGACAGCCCAGCAGCTCCTGCACTCCTTTGACTGTGAGCTGGATTTAAGTGATGCCACTGGGGACTGTTGTGATTATAGGAACATGCACTTAATTCATATATAACTCAGAGTGAAGATAATAGGTGAATAGGGAATGATGTCAACACTACTGAAGTTGTGTTTTCACTGTTGACTTGCCTCTATGAGTCATGACTGAGTTACAGGGCCCTCAGCCCTCCAACATCTATATCTCATAAAGGGTTGGAGGTGAATAAGGCTGTAAATTTGAAAGGGAGCACAGTATGAGATGGGTAATTCCCTTAATGCAAAGGGCAACTGTAGGGGTGTCTCCTGAGAAGAAAAGCCCAATATATGAGTTGAAAGCATACACTGGGTATGCGTTTTCATCACAAGCAGTTGTGGAGTCTCATACTGAAATGTCCAGGAAAGCCCAGGATCTGGCACAACTTTAGAAAGCCAGCCCAGACATGGCTAACTTTTCTGTCACGTCTGCAGTCCCCAATGTAGCTAATCTGTAGACCTACACAAATGTAGTTTAAATGCTTCTTAATCCTGGGGTTCAAAGTTGGTGGCAATGAACTGCCAGGAGCTGCATAGTATCCCATCCCCAGAAGCCCGGGAGATGGTGTACTACAGGTGAGCTGTGGCAGCATTGCTGTGGCCTTGTGTCAGCAAAGCCAACGTCACGAATCATGTGCACACATTTATCTTGCCCAATTCAAAGTAGAATTGATTACCTTAAACAACAATGAAGTAATGAAATGTGCAGCTCAGGCACACAGAATTGCCTAACCATCCCTCTGGGTCAGCACAGCATTCCCATGCTCACTGTTCATCCAAAAACACAATAGTTTCAGCCAGTGACTCAACAACATGATGTTCAACTCTACCTTTCCTGGTTTATGACTTAGACCATTTAATTTCCTGCACAAGTTCAAAAGCACATATATGTTATGTGTTTTTAATCCATATATTTGTGTGTGCCTACTTATGGATGGATGCATGCATATATATATATATATATATTTCATATACATGTATATCCTGTTTCTGACCTTGAAAGAGAGATTCCACACTGTATAGATCAACGTCAGTGATTTTTTGTCTTATAAGGCAAGCCAAAGGATTGAAAAGTAAAGCTTGAAATCCCTACCAACCCCCTCCTGCACTGTCTTTCAGAAACAAGCTCAAGTTTCAAACATTTTCTACCCTTCTTTTTCTTTGATGTTATAAAATGAGTCCTAAAAGTCTTTCAAGTTTATCTCAAAGACAGAGAAGAACGTGGGAGTGCCTGAAAGATAACAAATTGTTGATACAATGGTTTATTAATGAGGTGAACAAGTAGTGTTTAGCACATCTAACTTGACAATGGCAAAATATCTGTGCATAAAATCTTAGCTAATGTAGAAGTTCTCATAAAAATATGCTTTTTGCCATGCATCTAATCTGGAAAGAATTAATTTGGAATGATTTATGTTTTCCATTTTTAATCCACAGCTATTTTGACTGAAAACAGTAATTACCTCACTGTCAGTGTCTTCTCACTGTATTTCCATACCTTTTCTGCAACACAAACTGATTTTAAATATAAAATAACCACTTTTTGTTGTTGGTGGTGGTGGTTTTGTTTGTTTGTTTTAACACGTTACTTGAATAAATCCACAACAAGTGAGGAAATCATATTACTGCAAGCAGTCTCATAGGGCAATTTCTGTGGACCACGTAACATTTACATAATGGGAATCAAGAGTGAGCAGTGTTCTGCCTCCCTAATTTGGCAGGAAAGACTTTTTTTCTCACCCACTTTGCCTTTTCTGGGTCAATTCTTCTAGGGGACACAGCCCCAACAACGCTACTTTTACAGAAGGGAATTTACAGGTATCTGTCTGTTGCAAATGTTGAGAATCAGTAACAGGAATATGTAGTTGAGATCCTATGCTCAAAGTTCTGTTCAACTGGCTTTAGCAAAAACAAGAACACTTTAGCACCTAAATGCCATTCAAAGCATAGCAATAGTAAGGGTTTTTTCTGCAAAAACTCTCTATTGTCTGCAGATGGCAATATTCCTTGGGAGGCTAGAACAGAATGGGATAAGGAACAAATCTGTTGAATTGACTACTGAATTCCTTTAAATGTCCAGGTCTGTTCTGCAACCGAACCTGGGATGGTTGGCTGTGCTGGGACGACACACCTGCTGGCAGAATCACTGCTCAGAACTGTCCAGATTACTTTCCAGACTTTGACCCAACTGGTACAGTATTTCTTTTTATTATCTTATCTTTCAGAGGAACATTCATGCCATTGAGTGGAAGCATGTTTCCAGTGGCATTTTTGCATCATTGTGAAATTCCAAGGAGTTTGACTGAAATGAAAATACATTAGATCTTTGGGTTGCCTAATTTATATAGTTTTATTTTACAATATTTTATATGCATTTCTATGTATGTAATTTTGACTGCTGTACACATGGAACCCATTTTGTTAAAATATGAAAGTATTAACTACTTATTTATGATCTCAAAACATTTTTAACACCTCTGATTTTTTCTAATAAATAGAAGATGCTGAAAGTACATACTCATAGGCATGAAACATCTATCAGAATCTTTTTTTATTGTAAAATATCATTTTATAAAAGAAGATAAGCAGAAGTGATGTTCTTTCACTCTCAAAGTTTCAGTTGTTCATTGAATTCTTCATACAAATACTAGCAGCCATGTAGACTAAAAAAAGAAGTAAATCAAGAATCTTTAAAAAGACAAATGAAAGGAAAAAAAAAAAAAAAAGACAAATATTGCTGAACAGATATGAGGAAATTTAAGATGGAAGTAAAACTCCAGGGAGGTTATTGCTTGAAGAAAAACACAGTTGTGTGTTCCATTCTCAGGATATATTGCTTATAGGCAGTGGTTGATGCCACGATGTCCTCAATCATCTGTAAACACAGCACACCAACTGCAGTTAAAAATATGAAACTAAACATTTTCAACAAGGTTGAAACAAAATTTATGTGCTGAATTGGAAAGTAAAGAACATACTGTTGCATAGCTGTAAATTACCAAGTACCATTAGCTAAAACTATTTTTGTTGAGATTACCTATTTAGAAACAGAGGAGTTTCCAGGTAGGATCAGTATGTACATGTATCTCACTAAATCCTATTTGCAATAACAAACAGACTTATTGATATTCCTGGTCTTTCTAAATTAAGCTATCCACAGTTAGAAAATTCACCCTGCAAGTGGGAAACTTCCAATATCAGCCCCAGATTGAGAGGATTCAAACCTGCATCCTAATTTGGATGAAGGAACCTCCCTCTTTCCAGTGGACAACTGCTTCAACAATTAGGCAATTTGTATTAAAGGTACCAGAAGAGCATTGTAAAAGAACTGACCAAACTTGGTTCAGTTCTCAAAAAGAAGTGACAACATTCAGAGAGCTCAAGGCTCTGGATTCTGAGGTTACACATGCTTTTTCCTACATTCAGGGCAGGGGTGCCTCTCAGATGTACTTTCTGTTTCAGCCCCCTTTTTGTTTATGATACCCTCCACAAGTGGCTACTAGCTTTGATAAACAACAATTTACTCCAAGTTTTCTGCTTTCCTTCCTTCCATGTTTTCCTTAGGAAAAAAAAAAATACCAACAGCACTGGTTTATGTACACTCTATATGTTCCTGCAAAAGCAGGTGGTGGACAGCTCTGTAATCACAGAAGTCTCCTCACCACTCCCAGGTCCTCATCCCACCATAAGAGGGAGTGATTATGGAGCCACTCACCAGCTGGTGCCCAAGCCACTTATTCACGGCTTTTCCGGTTGCCCACTTGTCTCCAGCGACTTGTTCCAAACTAATCACTCCATTCCCACAGCACTCTTCAAAGTAACACTTAAGCCATCCATGGAGAAGCACCTCTCTCAGTCATTAATGTTTATTTATGTTGAAATCTGTGACTTGTTGGCCTGATTGCAAATGGCTCCTCAGTGTATAAATGTGTGATGCAGTCTTGCCCATGACAACAGGTACATACTGTGTTTTTTCCTTCTGCTGTGCTTTAAAGTTTGCAGATTTTTTCTTTATTTTATTTTTTAAGTGTTCCTGTTATCTGTATGAAGCCACAGGGGATAAAAAGCCTCGTCCAGCAATTTCCTCCTGTTCTCACTGCTGTCCTGCGTAGGAGCAATACCTGTGGTCTCCCACACTCAATGTTTCCCACACACACACACTTTCCTCTGCTCCTCTGTGGCACCTCTGTCTGTCTCTTGGTTGGTGTTTCTGTGTCTCAGACACAGCTCCTTGTTCAGCCAGAGCTGCTTTCCTGGAATATCTTTTGAGTACCCCAGGAAACAGCTGCAGCATAAACCAGCATGGAACCTGCCTTTGCTATACAGGTGGCTGATTGTCACACCAGGGCTTAATAAAGCAAGAGGGACACGAGAAACTATGGGGGTGATGAGAAATCTTTCAGCTGCTAATGGAAGTGGCTGCCACTTGGAAGTGTCCTAAAGTGCAGGTTCAACTGTCCTGAGAAAAGTATACCAAGTTTGTGTCACAAGTCATTATTTCGTTCAGTAACCTCTGTGTGTTAAACATAATACAGCTAGATTTTCTGCTGAGAAACAGAAAATTCACCCTAAGAAACAATGATTTTACAAGTCAAAAACCTCAGTGCCTATCAGGCTTCCTTCTCATTAAGGCCCTATAATATCAAACCACCTCAGCATGTATTTTAGGTATGCAAGTAAAGCCATGGACTTTCAAAACAAGTACTTTACACCACACTGCTTTGGGCTGCACTGAGACCTGCAGAACCACTCCACTGCCTATCAGCTCCCTGATGTCTACTTCTGTTTGGGTCCAGGTAGAGCTTCGAGTCCTGGAACAAAATATCACTCAGCTTTCTTTTTGCACTTTGAATCTTGGATCATTCATACTGGAAAAAAAAAAAAATAACTGGCAACATAGGATCACATCTTCCTCCCATCTGCACCTGTGGGTGCTGTATAACAACTCATTGCATGTGAACCCTCAACATTCAGCATCCAGGCCAAGACTGTGTATTAAAGTCTGCTAGAAAATAAATCAGGGGAAATCATATTCTGGAGAAAATGACTCAGAAGCACGATGACGGGGAAAGAGAGAACCAACATGCTCAGTGCTTAACTAAGTCAATCAAATGTAATTCTACTTATTTCATTGAATTTACATCCATTCATACTAGGTAGAAATCAGTGTGTTGAGGTGAGAAAGACCACCATGATAACCTAGACTGTTCCATTAGCTGGGGCTTCCTACATTTATTTTCCCACCCAATGAAGCTCTATCTTGTTAGAGTATATTAAAGCTAACAAACGGAAATCTCTCTCTACAAGCTGTGACAACTGTGTCCTTTTCAATAAACAACTTGCATCTTGCAGCAATCTCTGTCTCACAACGAGCATTGTGTGCATTGTGGAAATGCATAAAAACAAATCAATTTGGGGGAGAAAGCATACTGAGATCTACTGGTTTAACTCCAGTGACAGCAGGAAATTCATTGTCTCATCTGCTCCTGACTGAGGCTCTGAGAAAGGCTGAGTTCTGTACTCCCATATTCAGGCAACGTGCACAGTTTCCCTTGAATTGTATTTATATTCATGTTTTATTCAAGTGAATCTCTTGTATAATGCTTTTGAAATGGTTCCAGGTCATGCTGAAATTGATAGGAATTGAATTTGATAGAAATATACAGTATGTAATTCATGCTGGTAATACTCTTGCTAGTAAAATAGAAGGGAAATGGCCTTCCGTCATGGCAGGTGGACTGGGCTGCTGTGAGGGGCAGACCATTGCCCTGTGCTGAGTACAGCCTGTGGGGCTTGCCACCGTCCTGCACTTGGTCAGGGTGAATTTGGCACAGCCACGCACAGCAATGCAGCCAAACGTACAAGTTGTATTGTGACAGCCTTACCCTATGACCACAGGGGACTGGACTTATGGGCACAGGCACATTGTGCTCACAGCAGGCAAAATGCACAAAGCATTCAGCTGAGTAGGCCGCCAAGCCGACGGGAGCAGTCGGCTCCTGATGAGACTGCAGATTCTCATTACAGATGAGAAACCATGGCCTTCCATAAAGCAGAGAGAGAAAGAGACATTCTGGATTTCAACAGCTGCTGCATCTCCAAGCAGGCAGGGAGGCCACTTCTTCGGGCAGCCCATAATTCAAGCAGCTTCCCAACCCCAGTCTCCCCTTCTTAGTGCGCAACCCATCATGTGCCCGTCACCACCAGGTGGCATGCCTCAGTGTGGTGATGTCCCTGGGAGCAAGGAGCAGCAGCAGGAGTCCCCAGGAGCTGTCCAAGCACCCTGAGAGGCATAGGGAGGGGAGAGACCTTCTCCTGCTGCCACTAAATCTCATTTTGTTGACTCCGCCTAAAAAGGCAGCTCTGGATTTCTGCTGGCCCTGTTTTTTGTCTTGAAGTGATATAGACAGAGATAGATAAAACAAATCTGAATTCTGTGTCTGCTTCTTTTGCTCCCTACTCTTCTGTGTATTTCTGTCATGCTCCATAGAAATCTCAACAGCTACATTTTAAATATCATTTCTTATCCCCTCAGTGCACAACTAGACTTTATTCTCCGGTTTTGCAGAATAAGGCATTTTGATTCTTCACTTACTAGGACGCTGGAACTGAATGTTTCTAGGGTCTCTGTTGTATTATATCAGATGATTTTTTCATTTCTGAAAAAAAAATCTTCTAAAATATTTCACTGAGGAAGTAAATCAGCTGTGTTACAGAAGTATCAGCTATTTTCTCATCTGCAAAACTAAGTACTGTACAGGTCAATCCAAACAATGGCAAAGAATCCAATGTCTGGTATGTGCTGAGCATGCACTGCAACAGAGGAAAACTTTTTACTTCCAGCATATAACTCAGCAATAAATAAATAAATAAATAAATGGTACTGACTCTTTTAACATCTACTAGCCATAGACTTTGGCTAATTGTAAACAAACAAACAAAAGAATGATAGCGAGTACTCATGTTTGTTCCAAAGTTACAGGGTTAAGATATATGTTACATATAAAAGACTGATTTGTTTTTATGAGAAAAAAATAAGATTCATAAAAGCATCGTTGGTAACACAAGCAATAGCATATACAAAACCATTACTAGGGGTTAACCTTTTTAGACACCTCACTACTCCAGTGAAACTTCTATTGTGGGTAAGGTTTCTCTCATCCAGTTTTCCCAGATGACTCCTGAAGTGTCTGTCTTTCTCAGCTAACTACAGCGAGTCTGTAAAACTACCTTTGAGTATAACGTTAAGGTAGCTAAAGTTAGGTTAAATTAGTCCTGCACAATGCCACCATTCTTCCACTCGGAACAATTGATATCCTGGTAGTACGCTATCCAGGCTGACAGGATACAGACAGAGCCCAAAAGTTTTTATTTAAAGAGTATTTCAGTAATTTTAAAGCACATACTTCATTTTTGCCTTACTAGTATTATCTTACCTATCCTTACACTCTTGGGTATTTCTTCAGAGCTTCTTACAGATGGTTCTGGTTAGCATAAAAAACATGTGCCAAGGTTCCTAATCACAAACCTGCCACCGTAGAAGGACTTGCAGTAGAACAGTGGTTGAGTTATATACTGCTTCGTTTCTCTATAAAGCCCTAGATTTAGAAGAAATGTTCTACCAGTGTGAGTCACTGGATTGGACAGTACAGAGGCTTACAGTGCACAAGGCCAAGTGTCTATTTTATCACAAGAGAAACACATGAAACTTCTTCAAAAGCCAGTCTGTTGACAACCCATTGCACTTCAGGGGCACCACAGGTGATGGACACCCAGGTACCTAAACAGATCTCTTTATTTATGATCTACCAAGAACAGAGAACAGTAAAATAAAAAATTGTCCCTTGTATCCTAAACTTTAGCCCACACCATTTTTCCAATCTAACTAGCATCTTATAATTAAATATTTTAAAAAGACATGCCATATTTATGTGTATCACAGTTGCATATCCTGACAACAGAACCCCATATTCTAGGATCAGAAATTCTGATCCCCCAGTCCCATTTTCTGACATCACAGCAAGAAATCAGTGGGCCATAGCAACTTCCAGACTAAGATCAATTGTGTTTGTCTGGCTTCAAGGAAAAGCATGAGGCAACAGATTTGCCTCTGGCTTACAAAGGTCACATTATACTTAGGCACAGTGCCTACCTAGGCATTAAAGTACAGAGATGATAGATGGTATTACCATTATGCTCTATAGCATATTAACAAAAGCCACGTATTCTGCACAGTGTATGGGATAGTAGGCATGATGTTTGTACACCGTGTTCCATGGCAGAGTAACGATTAATCTTTTATCTATGACTGAAAACTTTTTCCAGCTTTAGATAATATCTGGCAAAGAGTACAACGGGAACATTGCTACGCAGGCAGTCTGAGATTATCTCCAAGCTGCAGTGATGGAAGGCTGAGATAGCATGTACTGTTCTTCTTTGTATTGTTGATGCACGTATTGATTTTCAGCAGGTCCCCCAAAACAATGATTTGAAACTCACAGTAATTTCAGAAGTATGCTGTGTTCTGGAGGATTGTCTTCTTTTTGCAATGGTACTATGCAAAGTGTATTTCTAGTCAGAGGAAGATAGCTTGTTCTGTATGATCCTTGCCTTGCTAGTATGATCAAATGCTTTTCTTAGCATGTAAAGAGGGAATATGAATCTTCCAAACTACTAGGACCATTAATTATCAGAACTGATTAAGAAAAATAAATGCAGATGTTGGACACAAACAGTGAAAATGTGTAAGTTCAGATGGTAGTAGGCTCTTTAAAAGTAAATCGACTGGAAATGCTGAGAACCTATATATAGGGCCAATATCTATAAAACTACAGTAGACAAATGTTTGTCAAGATAGAATTTTTAGAATGTCAAAAAGTCAGACTTGAAACACTGTGCTTTTCATAAATAAACAGTTGTGTCACTATCTACAAGAACATCAAATAATTTACATTTATGATCTTATCCATTTCCCACTTTTGTTACTCAGACAAGTTTTCCACTGACTCCCCCATGGCCAGTGCTTGAGGGAAGGCCAGAGGAATTAGTCCAAGACTTGACAGGTGATTAGAAGTGACTGTTTGTGGCTCTGCGTCCAGGATTTCCCAGACAGAAATGCAAATGTGGACAGGAGGATGCCTGCACGGCACACATCTGTGGTTCCAGACATCCCTCTGAGCTATCCTGATGGTTCTGCGATCACAAAAAAAAGGATGCGTGCAAAGAAGCATGAAGCTGTTGAACGTTGGCGAGGATGTCAGAGCCACCTATGGGGCAGAGACACATGTAGAGGAGCCAAATGCACATCAGATTATTTAAACAGAGAGCCTGCTTCTCTCTCTGCAGCCTCAAAGGGAAATAAGCAGGGTTCCTGCTCACCACTGGCATGGAGCTTCGGTAGCACACTTCCACCCGTCTGTGCAAACGCACCGCTGGTGTCAGGGCTATCACCATCTGTACTACACATTTTCTTTAACTAATTATTCAATTATTCCCCTTAATACGTGAAACCCTGCTGCAGGACTCAGTCTGTTAGTGTCTGTGTAAGGATACCAGCATCTCATTGAGAGTGTCAGGTTTGAACAGTTTTCAACAGCCTCTTTAAATGAATTATTAACACAGAAATAATTGCATCCGAATTAAGGTTGGATATATATAGTCTAGAGCATTCATTCAAGACAACAGGAGACAGATAAATGACAAATTTTGTGTCAGATAAATCTCCAAGAGAAAAAAATTAAACAAAAAAAAGTATATTAATTCCATAACTTGAAAACCCTTTGGATTTCATTACACAGGCACTTTATTTCTAAACATTAATTCTTTTTAATGTTTTTTAAAATGTATAACATGCTAAAATAACTATAATTGTGCTTTATTATCAGAAAGAGCTTCAAAATATTGTGATGAAACTGGAAACTGGTTCCGCCATCCTGAGAGCAACCGCACTTGGTCCAACTACACCCTGTGCAACTCTTTCACCTCTGAGAAATTGAAGGTATGCTACAGTTAAAAACACAGTGATTGTCTGGGAATGGATTTAGGCTGGGCTAGCAGCAAGGCACATATGAATAGGTCAGGATTGTCTTAATTGTTTAGCTTTATTTGTTGCACAAGAATTGAATAGCAATGTCCTCCTGATTTTAACCTATTAAAATTATCTGATGAATTCTCAGTATAGGTTTGCTACAGGCTGGATAATTTAGTAGCAATTCACGTGATCAGTTTTGCTGTATTTTTCAAATGCATTTTTTAATTCCTGTGATTTTTTTCCTGATTTCCCAACAGCTGTAAAATGATCCTTTAAAATTTCAGTTTTGCTTTCTGTAAAAAGTATCTTCCAAGCTGTAGATATCATCTTTGCAAGGCTGGAAATCCTGATATGTTAAAATTATTTTTCATAACCAAATAGCATCACTCTGTATTCACTCCCTTTGAAAAGAAATATTTATGAAGGTACCATCATGCCAGAAAATCCTACAAGTCTGAACACATTTTACACATTCATAGTTTGACTGAAGTCAATGTGACTATTTACACTAATAAACTAAGCATTTACATCAATATTTCCAAAATTGAGTTGCTAAGCTGAAAAGGGAGAACAAAATCTAAAAGCACCAAAAGAAACAGAGAGAGAGAAATCTGAGAAAAGCTTTAAAAAAAATAAGTTAGAGAAACTCATGAAAATAAACATATTTCTCAAATGTGAGTGGAGCTCCAGGAAAATCTGATTACAGATTTGTGACAGAATAATTTGTGACTATTTGGAATTGTGGAAGGAAAAGAGTCAGAAAGTGATTTGATTTGGGGTTTGTCTTGGAGAATCTTTTTTTATGCAGCCAAAAATCAGTATGTGGTTATATTTAGTAATGATCCAGCATAAAGGGCCTTGGAAAAGTCTACTGGACTAGGCAGGAGGTGAATTCTAAAAGATTTTACAGCATGAGGAATCATCTTGGTAAAATGGGGCTCACCTATGTGTCAGACAGAGTATTAGTAAAAATCTCAGCTCACAGAAGCATTAAATGGAAGCACCATAAAAAATATCATTTTTCCAGATGTTGGCCCATGTAAGGAGGCAAAAAAATGTAGTTCTGTTGCCTATTATCCATGCCTTCCAGAAGAAGAATTTTGAATATCATTCAAGTGAAGTGCAGATAGAGCACAAAGGAAAATTATATGTACCTTGAGATTCTTCTGAAACAAACAAAAAAAAATAAAGTAAAATAAAATAATGGAAAATGCAGAAAGAATCTATCTTTACAGAAATGCCAAGTTGGATTATGACCTTTAGTCCAAGTCTTCAAAAACCAGGAGTATGCTTCATTTCTAAAGTATTTTCATGAACTTATAGACAGTTTAATTAACTGAGTATGAGGTATTTCTATCAGAGAATTCTCTTTCCTCAATACAAGAACTCTAGAGAGACAGGGGGAAAATCAATTACGTGTTTCAATTTCAAGTATTCTAAGCCTGGGATGAAGGTGCATAAACTAAAAATTTGGTGAATCAGTGTAAGTCCTATATATCAGAAAGAACATCAAAGGTTGCCATTTCGAGGAGTGTAGAGGTTAATCAAATAGTTGCTTGTTTGAAGTTAACTGAAAATACCAACATGCTATGCTTTTGAGATGGATTACAGAGGCAGAAATAAAACAAAACTTTTATGAACAGTTCTGTAAATTGAATTCAGGCTTTAAAATTGTATCAATCTAATATCATATAGTGACCACTTAGTATGCAGTGGAAGAAACGTCACATGCACACAGGTAAAAACCTCTCCCACTACTCTGTATTCAGAAATCTGTCTCATCTCTGCTCTCCAATCTGCCTTCTCTGGGGTTTTGTGGTCACTAGCAATGTTGTGGTTAGTCATTGTGGAGGGAAAGTAGGAGACCTAGAGCTTTTTCAGTTAATATGCATGGATTCCCATAAATCTTGGTGAGTGATACTTTGTTGTAAATAAGAACTAGGCCACCATATCACTTAGGTTAATGAAAGCAGGAGCTTATTCCAGTTGTGCAATGGCTGAAGAATAAGCTAGATAAAATGTGCACTTATGCTAAGTAGAATAGCTTTGTTTTCTGAATTTTATTCGTATCTGTTTTCAACTGCAACTTTAAGCTGACTTGGAAAAAAAAAAAAAAGCCATCAGCAAAACTTAGGACTACAGAAATCAATTAGAAGCTTGCCAGATATTAACTGAGTATGCCTGAAATAAAAGAGTTGTATGAAACATTCCTTATCCCTTTGTTCTTCTCCCTTTGCCAAAAACACACAAAAGATGCAGAGAGGGAGTAATAAAGAAACAATGTGCAAAATGCTGCACTAGTACTTGCAAACTTTTCATGGAGGAGGGTGATCTTAAAAAATTCATCTAATCATTGAAAAAGGAAAATCACTCTTGCATAACAAAAGAAAAATTAATGAAATAGAAGATAAATCCAAGAGAGGAACCTTCTATCTAGTCTTTTTTTTCAGGACAGGCTGATAGTATACTAGTGCTTTCAGAAAAAAAAAAAAGGGACTGGTGGATCTTGGCATGCCATTAGCCTCCTGCAGTATTCTGACAGCTGGATGATGCTTAAGAGCTTGGCTGAGACCAAAGTATGACATTTAAATACCACAGCATTCTGCAGCCAAGGCGCTGTCCTGTGATTTTGCTTCACTGTTGGCATACAAAATATGCATAGGCCTATCTTAGATTTCAGTGATATTAGTCAAAGTGAAAGCTTGATTACTTGTTGCTTGTGTGTTTTTTTTCCAGCAATACAAGACTAGTGAGTTGCCCAATGGCGAGGTTCACATTAGTGTCAAAACCAGAATTGTCACTGGATGTCATGTTCTAATGTCGTGTTGGAGCTGCTAAATTGTTTTCAGTTCATCTACTGCTTTCATGACTTCACAGACCTTAGTCATAAGCTCCAGGAGTCACTGGAATTGTACTCTCCATTAGGGAGAATCTGGCATTTGCACCCACTTGTCATAACACAACTACTCTACCTCCTCAGTTATTTTAGTAGAGTTTTTTGCATGTTTTCCAGCTGTGACGTGTCCTTCTTAGAGTGAGGAGGCCAGAGTCACAGGTTTGAGATGTGGGATATAAGTTTTAAAAAGAGACAAAATGATGTTCTATCCTCAGTGCCTTTCCTGATCATAGCTGACATTTTGTTTGCTCTTTGGCTGTCACTACAGATTGAGACAATGATTCAGAGAACTGGCCGGATGACTTCAAGATCTTGTTCCTGACTTTAGTTGCCAGTTCCGAGTTTAGCATTGTTTAAGCAGGGTTTAGATTGCTTATCCCTAATTTTATCTATGTTGAAGTTCAAATGGTATCTTCTTGTCTCCTTGCTTAGTTATCTGAGGCCCTTCTGGAGTCCATTACTATTATCTAGAAGAGCTAAGTATCATTTGGGAACTTAAAGATTTTTCTACATCCTCCCATCCCCAGGTCATCAATGAATCCATTGAACAAAAAGCCAGCCCCGATACCAGTCCTGAAGTCACCTAACTGACTCATCTCCATCCAAAAGTGGCCATTAAACTTTTACTCCCTGCTGTTTAAGCAGCTTTCAGATGATAAAACCTTTCTTCCAATACTGTGGCAACCTGTATTTTCCTTAATATTTTTTTGGTGTGGAAACTTGTCATGGGCGTTTGAAAACCCAAGTGTATTATGTCTGCTGTGCTCCCCTAGAGCTCAGGAAAGTTAGTGACGCATAATGTGAGCAAGGATCTTGCCAGTGATTTCAGTGCAGCAGAAACACATCAAATTATGTAAGAAACACTTATCTCTTCTTTAGACCTTGAGTCATACCATTTAATGTATTGCTGCTATTAAAAGAATATTGCAAAAGAACTTTTTACATAAAAGAAATACAAAATAGGATGTTGATTTTGTAGATTCCTCCTTAACAAGAAAAAAATGAGTGCCTGCAAGTTGCTCATGTTTTACATTTCTTTTTTTAAATTGCAGATGGCGTTCATACTTTATTATATGGCGATCGTTGGCCATGCTTTGTCTATAACATCCCTGTTGATTTCCCTGGCAATTTTCTTCTATTTCAAGTAAGTGTTTCTTACAAACACTCTCTTCTTTTCTTGAGGGATCTCATGTGGTAACCAAAGAAAAGCTTGGAAGGGGACATGGCCAGCTCTTTTGAGTGCCTTTTTATATAATCCTTACTATAATTAAATAAATAAATAAACAAACTCAGCACAGTGTTCTCTCACCACTGTGACATCTCCCAGTGATACGTAGCCAAAATCATGATGTTAGATTTATCAAGAATCGTGTAGAAGTGCAACCCATGGGGAAATGGCATAACTGTGGACGTGGGAAGGCCCCTCATTTAATATTTCCCTATTGCTCCTTGGAGGGCATGTCCAGCCCAGCCCCTGGAAGTTACAGTGACTTCACAGAGCAGTAGCTTTAAGCCCCCAGCTCCCAAAGGACAGGAATACCCTCATCTGTTGCTCAGGAACTGATCTGTTGACTTGGGAAAGCAATTACAAGGACTCATCACTAAGAATGAATCTGGTACTAACGTGTAGCCTCTCATTGTCATTCAAAGGACACATAGTAATTTGCTAAATCAAGAACTTTAAAGGAGACTAAACTGATATTTGCTGAAAGTATTGCAACTACTGTATGGGAACTCAAGCATTTCAGTCATGTCATTTAGTGAACCTGTCTGCACACTATTTATTATAGCAGCGAAGGAGCGGAGGGAGCTCAGATTTGCCCTCAGACATATAGTCACAGCTTCAGTCACTATCAGTAATGAGGGGCTATCTGTTTTCTGAGATGGTAAGCACAGTGGAAGACACCAAAGGCACCACATTTGTAGCAGATTAAAGTCTCCAATTGTTTCTTTGTTTTCAAATCACATGAAATGTTGAAGTATCTAGACATAGCTAAACCACACTAGCTAAAGAGGATTTCTCAGTGCCAGTCACTGCAAACGTGTATGTTAGATGGCACTGGGGGATTACTGTGGGGAAAATACTAGAGAATAAACACTGGACAAGCCATGAACTACCGTGCATTCAGGGCTACAATGACGTGAGTAAGGTATATTCTTCCCTAGCTTTTAAGCAAATTATTTAAGATATGTCATTACCTTACTGTAACATTACTGTAAACTCCAGACTTCCAGAAAATGGGATTGTGATGTTCATTCATAAATACTTTGGTGCAATAGAATGACATATTCAATAAAATGGCCCAGGTGGGATTGTATGATTTTACTGATTTCAGCCAAGGTGCATCTGTTACTTACAGTAAGAGAGAGAGATCATTACTTCATGACCAGAGATAGGTAAGCACCCACCAGGTGCACAATATATCTGGAGATAACTGCAATGTAGTCTAAATGGCCAGGTAAAGTTTTCCAAGTTGATAGGATATTGCATGTTGGGAAACAAGGCAAGAGTAATGTAAGAAACAAATGCAACTGCTTCTGAATAAATAAACAGGCTTGTAAACTGATGGAACTTTATTGCCAACAAGATTATATCATTCAAGAATATAGAAAAATCCCAATACAAGGCAAAAGGAACACTTATTTTTTTATTCCACAATCTTCTTTATAGGGATTAAAAACAAATAGTTGCACAATAATGGCAGCCCACAGTAATTAAAGTCCATCACTGTTGTCATTATAAGAATGTATTGTTTAGAGATTGCAATTTAGGCTGCAAGAAATTATTTAAACCTAAGCTTGTTGATTATGCTGGCCTGTGTGAGAGTAGCATTAAGCTTTTTTTACACAAGTGTCAACAGAGCTGAGTCCTTGATGAGCATTCAAAATCCAGTTTTTTATTTGTCATCATTCTCACAGAAAGATAAATGATATTGGTTTTGTACCCATCAATCTATTTCAAAAACTCAGAGACATATTTGCAATCTAAAAGTGTAGAATACTTCTAAAGATACTTTATTTCCCAGCAGATATATAAAGAGCATGAGTTTTATATACAGGCCATAATTCATTATTTGTTTTTATTTGGTTGATGTTTCTAGAAAAATTAAAAAACAAAACAACAAAAAAAAGTCTCCAATCTGTCAACTTGGAACTCAAATACAATAAATAAATCAAATACATTTTTTTCAGATCTTAGTGATGAAAATAGTAACTGTGAATTATGAACAGGTTCTAAATTAACACCTTCCCACTCGTGCCAAATCATGAATCTATATATGCCTTGTTTTCAAAAAGAGGATACATTCTCCATAGGATCTTTATTTTCCAAAGCAGTTTTTCACATATTGAAATTTCCAAGTCTGTAAAGGGAAGAATTGGCATTTTATTTTTATTTTTTTTTATAATTTTATCATGTAGCTTTAACTGAAAACAAAGGGTATTTCAGTAATCATTCAACTTCTTGACACCAGTAAAGCCAAGTAATCATTATGAAGTACATGTAGTATATATTCTTTTGTGACCATTTAGTTAAAAACATTTCCTATCACTCTTGTAGTGAAAAGTTTTTATATGTCTCGATACGTTAAATGTCTTGGAATTGGTAGATTTAATGTGTTGCTGCATACAATATGACAAACTTTACATGCTAGATTGTGAGATACCATCAATTTCATTAGCTGAACTTCTGAGATGTTTTTTAGGCCAGAAATACATATATGAAGATTTGTGGAATCTTTATCACAGAGCAAACACAAAATTCCAGCTTACATGTGCATAGCAATAGCAAAAATTTGTGGATAAAAAGTCCCCTTGCAGAACCCCTATATCGAGAGCACAAGGGATGGTTGTCTGGCTTTAAAAATCTACAACGAAAGGTGCTCCACAAGATACCTGTTACAGTGCTTAAATTGTAATTTAATTGTAATTGTTTTCAATTGTAGCAAGATAGTTCCTGTATTATAATCTAAATCTTACATGAAGGACCTTATCCTATTTCTGGTACCTACTTTGATCTATATTTACCATGGCTGTCTTTTGAAATTTCCATTGCATTTCTATTATGATAGATCCAAGTGCAAATCTGGGAAATGTATCTCTAAACAGGCCAATTGTTAGAGCTTAATGGTGCCAAATATATCTGGATCTTTTACATCTTTTTGCAGAGGATTTATTTCCTCTTTGAGATAGTAAAGAAATGGTACATACACATGAAAATGCAAAGAGCAAAGAGGGAATAAGTGAAACAGAAAACAATGGCTTGAGACAGAAGAGAAAAAAAATTAATGAGAAAAGGTATAAAACCAACCAATACTGAAGGAGGATATTTTCAGAAGAGAGGTTGAGATGCCCTATTACTCAGCGAAAAGCCACAAATCGGGGGTCAAGGGGACCTGGATATTCTGAACAAATTCAATCAAACTCCAAATAAGTTTACTGACTGGGTCACTGCAGAAGTGTGGTAGGATAGTTTTTTATATCTTGGTTGGATATATGGATACGTTCAGGTTATGTGCTTTCTAACAGTCATTGTCTTAGTAGTATAAGCCTCGACCTGGTTAGTTCACCTGCTTCTTGTCCCTGAAAAGGTACACCATAGATGAGGGTGTCCCTACATGCTGGAAAATAGTATGCTTAGTAAATCGAGAGGCCTGTGAAAAATAGGAAAATGCAATAGCTTGACTCTGCATAGGCTATAAGAAGAGTCTGTAAGACTACAAGCTCAAAGAGGTGAATCAAAAACACAGGTCATGAATTCTGCTAATTTCTAGAGGAGTACTTTGATGAGTGTCTGTGATAATGTGTTTTAATGGGATATAAAGATAGCTAGACACTGCCTAATGAATGGATGAATTCCTTTCCCAATGGAGCACAAAACCACAGGCTCAGTAATACTTTGAGAAAACTGAGATTAAATAAATAAATAAATAATGAAATTTAATCTGATTGGAAGTCTTTTACCCTGGATCCAGAGTTGTTTGGGGCAGTAAGGACAGGATCTGGTTTAAACGGTCCAGAACGGTCCAGAAAGGTGATTCCATTCTTCAGAGACCTTGCAGTGAGCAAAGCAAGGTCAGGCTGACTCAGTCTGAGCTCTGAGTCATGGACTCAATCCTGACCATTCCCAAGCCATGCTCAAAGACTCATCTTGCAACCACCTTCCTGACAGCAGCACACCTCCTCTCTCCTCCTCCTCCTACTTATCCTTTGCTTTTAATGACTAATCTATGACACAAAGATTACAGGAAGAAGTAGAAAAGGGAATTAAAACAAAGCACTGCAAAATGGGAGGACAAAGAGGAAACCAAACTAAGATCATAAGAAAGTGAGAGTAAAGCTGCACGGGAGCAGGCTTCTCATTACCTTCACCTATTTTTTCTCATCTGGATATGGCATCGATAGATTATTTGACCTTCAGTAGAAGGCAAGCTGCCAATCAGATGGTTGATCAAATAGCAAGAGATGGTTTCAGAACTGTACAGTAGCCTTTGACTGCAGAGGCAGCAATGAATAGCGTGCAGAGGTTGCTGTTTCAAAATGTGAGAGAAAATTCTTCCCACATATAAGTCTTTCCTGGCAGAAATTTATTTTCATTTCAGTTTGGGATATCTAGAATCAAAATGATCTGGCATCATACACATTGCAGTACTTTTGGAAGGGAATACTGAATCAGTAGTGATAAGCATTGCTAAGCAGTACTCACTTATAACAGGGGACAGAGTATTCATGAAGTGGATTGCCTAACAGTCACATGCATCATAACAGTGTTGCAATATTTTTATAGTTGCAGACTGACACCCCGTTGTCTTACACAATAAAATGCAAAAGCAAAAAGGGACTCCTGGCTCCAAATCACTTCCAATTGAATTACTAAAACAAATACATTTTTTGTAGAGATAGCTTGGGAGTACAGTAAGTTTAGATTTGCCAGAACAATAGATGATGTGTTGTGAATGCACTTGCAGTTTTAATTATTGCTGTGGCTTTTAAAGGAAGTTGAAGAAAAATAATGTATGTAAGAATAATTTGTAGTAGTTTGCTGGGAGTTTACCCCCAGGGACAACATAGTAGAAAGCATGAAAATAATTGTTTGAAAACTAAACATGTGTCTAGAAGATGGAAATAACTGGCTGGGGGTGAAAATTAGTGTTCTCAATATTAATGAATGAGAACTGATGACAGATTCACAGAGCAGATCTATAAAGAAAATAATGTCAAAAGCCCTTGGAGGTCAATATCATAAATGCAATAGAGAAGTGGAGACAGAAACTCAAAATAAGGAAACACAGGAGAAACATGTAAAACTGAAGGAGACACTGAAAGTCTGAGCTAAGAGAGGTCAGAGAAGTAGAATATTACATATGATTGTCAAAACCAGCAGAGAGGATGAGCTTGGTTTTACTAGGAAGATAGTATTACGAATATTACAAACTTTGCTGAGAACAGTTTCATGGGCAAGACAAGACGGGTAGATGTGAAAGGCTGGAACTGAAAAAGATGATTTCCAGACAGGAATTGCTGGTATTTGTGTGCATGTGTGTGTTTTTGTTTGTTTGTTTGTTTGTTTGTTTGTTTCAATGAGATAAGAGATAAATAGGAGAAAGGAGATTAAATTATAGACGGTAGTTACTCACTACAATTGGTAAGACAAGTTAGACCACAGGTGCAACTGAAAATTAGAAAAGACAAACTTTCCTTTGTAAGGGGAGAAGCTGAGAAAAGAGAAAGAGATGTTATAGAGAATATTAATGTTTTGAAGGGCACTGGATGAGATGGGCTTATAGAAGTAAATGGGAAGTATAGAAAATGAGAGTGGATAGAGGGTATCCCATATTTGCAACCAGTTTCCAGTTTCTGGGGTAGGGAGAGTGCAATCCTGTGCAGAGATAGAAAGGTAGAGGAAAAAGAGGGACTGAGAAATAAAACTAGATGAACAGATCATTTGGGCAGAAGATAAAGAGGTTAAAGAAGCATTTACCTCGGGGATGGTGAAAATGAGGGGAAAGAGAATGGTTTTGTAGGCAGAATTCAGGCTCACAGCAGACATTCCATGAGAAAATTGCACAGGCAGAGCAGAAGCAGAAGTATTGGGGCATAGTGGCATGGGAGCTGGCAGGATGGACATTGAAGTGAGGAAAAAGACAAGATCAAAATAAAGCAGGCAGAAAATCAGCAACGAAATATCTCAGGAAGATGAGACTGAGAGCAACTGATGAACCGGGAAGGGCAAATGAGTGACAAGTATGATTCAGGAGGAAACTAGCCAGCTGGAGGGAGAAAACCCTGCAGCAGGCAGGACAGAGCAAAGGGAGTTCTCCTCTCAGTGTAGACCATGTCAGGAGGGTGCTGTTGCCATGTTGATGGAGAACCTAAGAGTCAATAAAAAAATGAGCTTAGGGAAATACAAGCTTAATGATCCAGATGTATCATTAACATGCAAGCTGGAATCAAGGAAGAAAAGTGGGGGAGACTGTGAGGAAAGGATAAGGACACTGCAGGAGTAAAACTAGGAGAGGAAAGCAGGCAGGGAAAGGAGCTTGGACAACAGATGAAGGCAATGTATATGGAAGGACAGTCCAATTTTCATAGAGGATAAGACTGGGAAAAGCCAAGAGGAGCAGTGAGAAATGACCGGAATGGGAATGAAGGCCTACGTACATGGCAGAAATTACCACAAAAGACTTTCCCTCTGTATCAATGGCCACACAGAGAGGCAGCTGGACAGACAAGGGTCTGCATCTTTGTGGCCAGTAGCTGAAGAGGCTGCTCTAAATAATAGGGAAATTTTATTTTACTGGGGACAGGTTGGGGGTTACCAGGACTGCAAGAGAAAGAGAGAGGGTAAAGTGTACATGGTAGTGTCTCAAGACAAGTGGCACCAGTGATGGAGAATGGTGATAAAACATGGTGATGGGGAATGGGAAGAAAGGAAGAACTAGGACTAGACAAATGCTAGCAGAGCCAAGAAGCAGAAAAGGAAAATTAGGCTAGATTTGCAATGGGGGCAAATACAGGTGGAACAAGCACAATAACACACTGTAGGAAAGGTCAGTCCAAAGAACTGTCTGTTTTACCCAACATCCTGTCCTACAGTTGGTCAAACTAAAGGTGCACTTAGCCCCATATCTTAGCTCACACTAGATGATGCTGAAGGAATATAAAATCAAGGCAAACGTAAAGAGTTACTCTTCTTCTCAGCCCCAGAAGCCTCCATCTCCTGGACATCCTGAATCCAAGAGGTTCTTGGTGAATAAGGAAAACAATAAAATTGATGAGCACTGCAGGATGATGATGACCATAGCCAGCAAGACAATCTCAGGCTAAAGGAAGAATTCCATCCCGTGATTCCAAAGACAAAGAAAAGTGAGGATAAATGGCAGCTGACTGAGGAGAAGAAGAAAAAGGAAAATAAAAATAAATAAATAAAAAGTAAAAATTAAAAAAAAAGACAAGTAAAAAAGGAGTTCAGTTTGTTAGACGAGCTCTCTGATTTTAGAAAAAGTGCATTCTGCATTAGCCTCCACACACAGAGCAGCTGAAAGTCACAACCAGTGTACAGATCCAGATCGTAAAAGGCTGACTGCTGCTAGCACCAAGGGTGAGGCTTGCCTCACTGAGAAGCGATATTTGCTCTTCTTAGCTGTTCTTTTACCTACGGGCTTTGCCTGCTTAGTCTCAGTGATCACTGAAGGCAGACATCACAGCATTATCTAAAAACTCCATGACTTTCTTTCTGCAATCACCTCCTGCCAGACCTGGGCTGAGCTCCCAGGCGTGGAGTGCTGCAGAGGCGTTGTTCTCTGCTCAGGGGTAGCCGAGGAGCTGGTGTGAGGATTTGGGTAGGAATTAGAAAGGCAAGAGGGTTCAAGTCTGAAACTGCAGTCATGATTTGGTTGCACAACAATTTTGTGAACTTGTGAAATTCTGCTACCCACAATAGCAGGAATCCCTCCACCCCCGATTGCTGCTCTCTCTGAGCTGGAAAACAACCTCTTTTGGCTTTGAATCTCAGCTGGCATCTGAAACATGCAGTATACTATCCCAAATCCCCCTGAAATTTAAGGGGATTCAAGCACAAGTTTCCCCATCCTGCCTCGCCACTAATTCCTAAAGTAGCAAATAATTTTCATCTGAATATTTGAGAAATCAAGTCTCCAGGGAACAGTTACGTATCAAGCAGTATTCCTGATGATCATTGCTTGCATCATGTGCATCTAATAATTCTCAGGGTTCTGCTTCACCACTTAATATCTTGATTACCATGAAATAAAGAAGGGCATCAAGGGCTGAGAAAGTAGCCGGATGACTCTTTACACCATGGTCTAAAAAGCATGTGGTACTAAACAGGTGTAAAAACAAAAACAAAAGAATTTTGTCAGAGGTTATGGCTGCAATGCAAGGCATGTATTTTCCAATTACGACTTGCCAAAAGGCATTCTTGAGAAACTGGTGCCAGAAAGAGCTTGTTAAAGTGACTTCAGAGGAAAAATACTAATTTACAATGTGTGCTACATATTTTTTCAGGAGCCTCAGCTGTCAAAGGATAACGCTGCATAAGAATTTGTTTTTTTCTTACGTGCTGAACTCCGTGTTTACAATTGCCCACCTCATCGCTGTTGTTCCTAACCCAGGCCTTGTAAAGAGGGATCCAGTAAGTACTGCATGACTCCTTCTTAACCTTTTAACCCCCAAATAAAATTACTATGGCCACAAAACCAAGCATACTCATTCACCAGTTAATGATAGCCATCTGGTAAAAGAGGCACAGAAGGTCCAGATTCTGAGAATCTCACTCAACCTTCCTCAGGTCTTTCACCCAGTAATAAAAATCTTTGAATTTGGTACAACAGGAAAAAGCCTCAGACTTGCTCCAGCCTGCTTGTTCATATAATTTTGTGTCAGATCCCCACTGCTCTCATCAGCAGCCACCTGACATTTCCCAGCAAAGCCCCCCCAAGGATAGATGCTTGGGCTGGCCGACTGACCTTTCTCACAGGCACACATGGCAGGGTTGGAGAGGGATATGGCTTTCTTCAACCCCCCCTCAAAAGCTGTTCACTGCATTTTTTTCTTAAATCAGAGCAGTAGCTCTGTTCCTTCCTCTTAGATAGCAGTACAAACAGAGCCAACCCTCAGCTGATAAATATTCATGGACGATCTCAGTCACCCAGCTCTGATCTTGCTCTCTAACAGAGCCACTGCTTGGTGCTCACAGCCCTGGCTGATGAGAAATTAATGCGAGCCTGGGAATCTCTCAAGTTATGTCACAACACTGATCAGCTCGTCTTCTAATAAGATCATTCAATTATGGCTCAACCATTTATCTGCTTCTAATTTTATGAAAGCAATTAAAGATTGGCACCTGATATTATCTGATCACGTGTATGTCTCTCAGACGTGTGCTACCAGTTAAGTAAGCTAATTAAAGCAGGAAATATATAGACTAAAGAAAAGATCACCAGTTCCAGGGACCATATGGAGATTAAAAAATAAAACAGCAAAAGAATAATTAAGATATCACACATTTTGTTTCCCCTTAATGCATAGCATCATCTGTGCATGTCCTCTGCAAATGATGAAGTGAAAACACAGTTGATATTTGAAGATACAAGGCTGGCACATAGTATCGGGCACCTAAATTGAAGATCTTTACCTCAGGGTTAAGAATGATACTTCCTGACAGTAGAAGTAAATAATCTGAAGTGGTTCAATTAAAAGCTGAGGTCGCAGCAAGGACTCCTGTCCTGTAAGATTTCATTAAAAATCTGTATCCAGTACCTTGGGGCTACAGCCTTCTTTAGAGTGAATTCTGGTGCCCAGTGAAGTCAATGACATAAAGCTCTCAGAGGCTTTGTTAAAGCCACGTAGGCACAGGACAGATGATGGGGCGCTGAACATCACCCGATGAAAAACCCCCACTTCCATTGCTATGGCAGTGGGCACTATAGGATTACAGAAGTGATTGCCTTTGGAGCCAGAGCAACCCCAGAGCAGTGCAGAGGTTGATGCATGCTGTCAGCTTTCAGGTCATGGCCCAGACTACAGAGAGGGCCCAGGCTGCTCAGATCCCAAAGAAATCAACAGATGGAAATCAATCAAGTGAGTGCCTTTCACTGATGTTGGGTTAGCAAACCTGGACTTGGCTGTTCAGCTAGGCACATGCTTAATTGCTTTGATGAACAAAAAGGCTTTATTTTGCACTTTCTTCTTCCAAACACAATTTTCATGTGTTTGGCCCAGCAGAGAATTGCTGTCTAGAGGTGAGATACAAAACTGGGGGAAAGAGGGCTTGGTGTCTACTCTTTTGGTTCTGCAGTCAGGTATGGGATGAGAGTACACTCACTGCTTGGTCTTACCTCACTTGCTAATGTGTTCAAACCAACATGTGCTCAAACCAGCCCAACGTGTCCACCAGCAGGACTAGCAGTATTCTGCTATTTTAGTGGACTTGTAAATACATGACTGGGAAAAGAAAATGAACTGTCGGGGGTGACTTTAATATGTGGTGAAAACACATATAGTCTCAATATGAGTATTTGAAGACTTAAATTTATGTTGAAAAAAAAATGATTCCATCAGATAGATTACCATAGCATTTTTATTTTAAAGCTGATTAACAGAGCAAATGAAGGCTTTATAGTTTGTATTTCTCCGTGACTGCTACATCCTCTGCTTTATTAAGTCCATTTTAAGACAATTACCTGTGACTTTCTGTAGTTTGCTGAATTTATCCACTTTCCTCCTGTGTGTCTTCTGAGCTTGACAGACCTCTGTGTGTGTGGCTCCTACCTCAAATATATACAGAAATACTGAAGTCTGTAGAAGGAATTTCAAAGAGTCACAGATACCACTTATTTATGGCCATCTACAAAGATGAAGTTGATGGTATTTAGTCAGCAAAATAATAAATGTGTTTCCACCCCAATATTTCCTGCTTCTTTTTCCTGCCTAAAGTTTCACAATGGATTTTAAATATGCAATGTCATGGGGAAAAAATTACAGTGAATATGTACTTACAAGGATATCAACATATCCATATCCTTTGCAAAGAAGAAAGAAGGTTCTGTTAAATAACCAAGAGAAAAGACAGGAAAAGAGGAAAACCATCTGCATCACCAAGACACTCACATTCTCCCTGGATCTAGATACAAAAGATGTGACGCAATCCAAAGAATCATTTACATGAGGAGAGGTCATATTGCATCCTTACATACCTTTTGCTGCAAAGATTGTTACAATTATTCTTCTCATATAAATTGGTAAGTCAAACAACTTTCTCAATACATCCTAATTTTATTTTTTCCTCATTTTTCCTGCTTTCTGGTTAAGTAATTCTCTCTCCCTCAGATTTTTCTGGATCTGAAATTATGGAAGAGATTGAAGATGTGAGCCCAAATGGCTGTACAAGAAGCAAAGAAAAAGGTTCAGGGGCACTTGAACAAAAAGAAACAGGAACACATACATGAACACTTGTATCAATATATTGAAAACCATTGTGTGAGCTGATTTTGTGCATCTTGTATCTGAATTAGCAATTTCATTAATTGTACTGTTACTGGAACAGATTTTATAGGGAGGTGTGTCTTCTTTTTTGGGAATGACATACGGAAGAAGGGTGATCTGTGAACAACACATTATGTTCTCTACTAAAAAGTCTGGAAATATAAATAAAAATCTTGCTGCCTAATCTTTTAATACAGCCTCGTATATCAGATCTGTATTTGTCATTTTTCTTATTCCACAGACTAGTAATTTTAATACTGAATACTTATGGAGATAAAGGAAGATGCAGCTAATGACTGGAGAGATAGCTCAGCTAATAAGAATCTGAATAATTGATCAGTTGCACAGGCACCACAAGTCAGTATTTAGAAATGCTTAAGAAAGAGCTTTAAGAGATCTTATTGTATTTTTATCCCTCTGTTGTTCTAATGGAAAGAATACCTGTTCTCTTCTTTCTCAAGGCAGTTCTGTAGGTGCTTCATCTTTTGTGTATTAGTTTTCCCCTTGCTTCTGGCATTGTGTGGTGTGAAAGTTTCAAATTCAACTGCAGTTTTACAGAGTCAATATCAAGGAGCAGTGCTCACCTGGGAGCTCCTGGGAGCCCTGTGTGGGCTCAGCTCTTGCTGAGGTGGAAAATGCCCTGGACATGGAGTATGAAATGCTGATGCCTGTTCTTGCCTCCATGTATATATACACTGTAAATATCCTGAGCAAGTTTACCACTCTACCTGATGAAGCAGTGTGTTCTTCCTCCCTCTAATAGGACCAGCAGCATGCAGTCCCTTTCCCTTTCCAAGCATTTCCCATTAGCATTTCCATCTATAAAGCAAAGCCACAGTAGTAGTAATTTTTAAAAAATTAGTATTCTTATGGACACTAAAGCACTGTAAATAATCTCACCAGTTACTAATTAAACTGAAAATTATGACTGCCCAATCATATTAGGCTTTCCTCCCTATCAGGGTAAAACAGTGGAAATAAAAAAGCTGAGTTGTGTGGAAAGATGGAGTGTATAAAATGTAGTTACTGTGATTTGTGGGGTTTCAACACTGTTGACTTTCCCTATTCTCAAAGGAATAAGCAGGGAGTGAGAGCCAAGAAGACAAAGGAGATTCACAGCATTTCAGGAACAGTGTTAATTTTAGGTCTTTGTACCATATAAGTGTTATCTTCCTCAGTATTACAGACTCATTTTGTATCTTGTTTTCAATTTTTCTGATGTAGACTGGCAGAGCCTTGGGGCTTTTAAAATGTGTGTTTCTTAAATGAGAAGTCCATGGCTGATATCAAGGAAGACAAATGGAAAAATGCTGGTCTGTGTGACTGTGTTTGCCTCAGTAGTCCCAGCAGTCCCTAAGGGAAACATTAGGGTAGAGCTCCACAAAGGAGAAGGGCACTTTGATCCTCTGAGCTGTTTCACGTGCTATGCTTGGGGTAAAGCTTCAGGAGGCTCCATTCTCGTTAAATTAAATTGATTCTTTATTACAGTAACTATTTCGAGAGCTTTCCAGTCACTCTCAAAGCATCTCCAGAGGCTTTCATCTTAGTACATCTTTTTTCTCCATCCTTTTTCTAGGTAGATTGCATACAGGGGCCTCTGCAGCCAGTGTAGCCCCAAAGAGATGACAGAAATCTATTCTAGAGTATTGTATACATGCAAAAGAGAACAAAGACCAAACTGGAAGCAGAGGATTACTGGCTAGTGCCTAGTGGTCATGTCGCCTGAGTCTTCCAGTATATCTTCTGCACTAGGAGAGGGTCAGTGTTCTTGTGAAAGCTGTAGTTATCTTCCCTAGGAGCCTTTCACCTAATGAAGGCTATATATGAATATACATGTGAATATGTACAAATTTGTATAGATGTTGTGCATTTGAAAATTATATTTGTGTATTAACTTCACTAGTACAAATTGGCTCAGCAAGGTTGGCCTGGGGAGAATAAAATGTATTACTTGCTTTTGTGTAAGTCAAAGAGGGACACAGTTGGCCTCCAGTTATACCTGTTGCAACCTCTGTTGAACTCAAAGGGTTTCCACCAGTTGTGTGTCTCACCAAGCTGTGTTCAATGATGAAATTCTGGTACCTTTTGTTCTGCTCCCAAGTGAGCACAAGTGCCTGTGTGGGCAAGTGAACCAAATGCTTTAATCCA